TCTATAATTAATGTGGGCGTCAAAATAGAAATGTATTATGACGTTTATTGAAACACTAGAGAACACAACTAGCTGACGGTTTGTGATTTTCATTAATTACAATAGCAAGTTAGAAATAATAAAAGCGTAGAAAACTCGATGAACTCGTGGCTTTTCAAGGTTTTCAATTGTTGTTGAAGTGTTTTAGAGCAATATTTTAAAAGTTTTGTTTTTCACATTGCTTGTTTTCATTTACTCAGCGGAAACGAAGAATGATTTTGTTTCACATCTTCATTAATACTTTTCATCCATTCATACATACATGAAAACAAACGTTTCCACTCGTCAGATAGCAATCGAAAAATTTGATTGTGAACCATTTCAGAAAGGTGAAAGGTCATTTCGCAATGATCGAATATTATATAATTTACTTTGAGCTCTCGTAGAAATAGCCAAAAGCTACCCTACATATTAAGTTACAAATGTCGGACTAAAACATTTCTAGGATGATATTCAGAAAGCTAGCAGTTGAAACTGACCAACTTGAATGCTTGTTGATCTATCAGATTTCTAGCTAGTGAATATCTTAACTTATTTTAAAAATATCGGAATAAATTTTATGTTTGCATCCATCTCGAGAGACGAGTTAGAATGTTTACAAATAAGGAAGTATGTAGCAATTTTCTCACAGCTTCATTAGTCAAAATCTGTATTAACCAGTATTCCACAATATGTTATAGTTCTCAACACGCTGAACATTCGGTCGATATCATGACAAGGCGTGATGATGATGTCTTCTCTTTAAAATTCAATGTAGACATAACTTCAGAAGACTTTACAATTGTTTGGCTCGATGCTAATGTACATCGGTATACACAAGAATATAATGAACTATATCGAACAAGCAACATTATTGAGCTATTTGAGAATGAAGAAGATTGTCATCAGTTTCTTGATACTACATCCAATATTCGATCCAAAAAATTGTTCGTGATTGTATCTGGTAGCTTAGGTAAAACATTTGTACCAAAAATTCATGAATATAAACAAATTTTATTCATATACATATTTTGCCAACAACGCAAACAGCAGAGTACTTGGGCACGCAATTATAAAAAGCTTGGTGACAATCGAATTATTACACAAACACAAAATTTGTTTGATCAACTTACTGATGACATTCGTCACACAATTGATGCTATGATTCCAATCAATATTTTTAATCGGGAAAAAGAAGAATCAATTCAAGATTTAGACAAAGACAGCGCTTCGGCTATGTGGTTTCAACTTGTAATTGATGTTTTAATAAATATGGAAAAGACATCAAATGCCAAAGAGGAAATGATACATCTGTGTGATTCACTATATTCAGACAATCCTCGAGTACATGAGCAAATTGTCGACTTCAAACAAAACTATTGTCATGAAAATGCCATTGTTTGGTATACAAAAGACTCGTTTCTCTATCGATTACTGAATAAAGCACTTCGCATAAAAAATATTGATGTCATTTATCCATTTCGCTTTTTTATTGCTGACCTTCAACGTCAAATTCATCAATTGCACACCGAATTCTTAGAATTTGTATGTACAGACATATTGACTGTCTATCGTGGTCAACAATTGGGAGTGGATGAGATCAGAAAGCTAGAATTGAATATTGGTGGATTAGTATCGATCAATACATTTTTATCAGCGACGTTAAATCCAAAAGTAGCGCTAACTTATGCTGGTGAAATCAAAGATAAATCAGTTGTATTTAAAATTCAAATAGACATTCGTACAAATACCAAAGTTCCTTTTGGTAGCATATCTCATATGAGTGAACATCGATTCGAAGAAGAATTTCTTTTTTCGATTGGAGCAGTCTTTCGTATTACGGCTGTCGATCAAATCGACAACGTCTATTATATTACATTGAAAATTAGTGATGATGAAAATGAAGAAATAAAACATCTTTTTAGCTACTATTATACGAACTATAAAGTTAACGAGCCTACTACATTGATCACGCTTGGTATGTTTCTTCATGAAATGGGTCAATTTGATCAAGCTGCTTACTATTATCGATTGATGTTACGTAATATTAATCTGTCTTGTGATTATGACATGCAGATCAAACTTTACAAACAACTTGGCTATGTAGCTAAAAGTCAAGGTCATTATCAACAAGCGATTGAAGACTATAATCGAGCACTTACTCTCATTCTTGAATATAATCCCACTAACTATCAAGATTTATTCGAAATCTACAGTAATTTGGGTGTAGCCTATCGTTATGTATTCAATTTCGATGCCGCTCTAATTTTTATGCAAAAAACGTTAGATTTACATACAAATTATATGGAACTAAACGATAGTAAACTCTCTCAAGTATTCAACAATTTAGGTCAAGTATATCGTAGTCGAAAAGAATATGACAATGCTGAATTCTATTTTAAGCAAGCTTTACATATTTTTAATCATTAAACTATTATTCCAAGTAATCATTCCAATCGAGCAACATTACTAAGTAATTTGGCTCATCTATACAGTGAGATGGAACGATATGATGAAGCTATAATCAAATTGAACGAGGTTTTACTATTTCAACTAAAAGTATTACCACCAAATCATCCACATGTTGGACGTACTTACAATAATCTTGCCTGCATTTATCTAAATAAGAAAGAGCATTATAAAACGGCTCTTCATTTGTTAAGAAAGACATTAGATATTGATTTAAAAAACTTATCATCTAATCATCCTTGGATAGCAAGAGTCTATATGAACATAGCACGTGTTTATTATGCACGTAATATGCACTTAATTGGATGGTTATATGCGAAAAAGGCAATGGAACGACAGCATGCATTTCAACTAAATGATCCTGATTATATTAAATGTGAAGAAATATTCGAAATAGGTCAAAAACAGATAATCCACATTATTTCTATACTTACTGTAATTTTGAATGAACTCGAAGGAAATACTCACTGATTTTCTATGCTCACAGGTCAAGCATAAAATGTCCGTATATACTTAATATTGAGTAGAAATATGTCTGTTACTGAGTCAGAGATTATAGCTCAAAGCTTAACATGTAACGGTAAAAGACTGATGTTAGGTTTCAAATTGTAATAACATACGGACTACAGAAAACTGATCTCTTTATATCATATGGCTTTGTTCTTCGTCAATTCAATTTCAAAAGCTATCTTAAAATTGATAGGATGTGGATCGTCCTCTCATCCTTGAATCAAATTGAACATTTTATCAATCATAAAAGAAACCCATTTATTTGGTATTGTGAAGTAAAAGTTTTTCTAATTCTCTGTCAGTTATTTGCTCATTTTCAATAGTCTCTGTCGAACACTCTAATGTAGAATTATCACCAGATACATCTACAATCTATCATAAAGTTGTAACATGCTGTTCCTCCTATTTTTTTACACTGTCAAAAAAATAGAACGTTTTTAAGTCTTCCCAATTTAATTTTCCAAGTTCAAATGAAAAAAAAATTTGAACAGTCAATTCTTTATCAAAATAGCGTACAAAAAAAAACATATGGTTCGAAGAAGAAAAAAACACGAAGCGTTTTCGATACCTTCGTCTGTAACTGTATATATTCTTGTCTTGAAAATGAAAATGTGAATGAGTAGAAGATGTTGATCAATATTCCCCGTCATTCTCACATTCACACCCTATACTGTGGTGTACAACGATTATGAAACCTTATTTTTCATTCATAAATCATAAACAGGGATAGAAATAAAATTATTTGTGCTCTAGAAATTGGGACAAGATTTAATTCATTCAGTAAATAGTTGAAAACGATTATGAATAAAATCAGATGTAACTGCATTGTATCTAGCGTGAAAAATTTAACAATATACGAACACAAAAAAATACAAATATTAACAATGACAATCGTTGAACATCTATATATTAATGTGTGATACATAAGTTTTTATTGAATTATTGCTCTGTTGAAGTTGATCTTTACTTTACCAAACAAGAATAAAAAAAACATTTCATTCTGACTTTATCTTGTGATCAAATTGGTCTGTCTAAAAATTATGTCAATGAAGCATGAAACATACAGTTTAATCTATTTTATGGAGAAAATAAAATACTTTTGAAACATACAATAATTAATTCTAAAAATAACTTGTTTTGTACGACTGTTTTTACATATCCATGGTAATCTTTTTTTTTTCTCTTTTGACATTGACATGTTTTCCATGCATTGGGCTATTGATTGTAGATCACTGAAAATTTTTTCAGTGTCTGATTAATAGTAATAGCAATACAAACGAAACACTAAAAGTTATTGAACGAGATAAACAACCAGTTCAGTAGTTAAAAAATAAATGAATAATCTTTAATGATGCAACGGTTCAATCTGACTAGAAAATTATCAAATATTGATTTGAGGGACATAGGTTAGTTAATCTATCGTGACGAACAGGTATAGCAAGTATAAATACATTTCCTTAAAGTACATCAATAAATTTATTTGAAAATTTAACAGTTATAAACTATAGTTATAGTGTTTATATTCAAGATGAATTGACTAGTAAATATCCATTTCATATTATATGCACAATCATACTTATGTGATGATTGATTGCCTTGAAAGCAAATATCAATACGAGAGATTCTTTGCATCGAATAACACTACATATTATAGTATTGAATAAGGACAATAACAGAAATTTTTAGCAATTCTTAGTCAATTTACAAGCAACTAAATACTCAATGGATAGTAATGGACATATATTGAATATATATCAATGATATACCTTTGTGGTCATCGAAACAACATTAATCTCAATAAATACTTATTATTTTATTTTCTAGCTTTCAGTTTTCTATTTTTCATTTATAAACTATTATCAAAAAAAGAAATTAGTCTGCTTATTTATTATAGTTGATCAGGTATCCAAAGTATTGAAAATGAGCATGATTATAGTAAACGCCAATGTAATTAGATTTTGTCGTTCTAGAATTTAAAATTATTTTCCAAAAGTGAATAAATGAAACCAATTATGAAATAAAGCTTTACAACAGTTAGAATACTCAAATAAGACTTTCTTTAATTGCTTTTAACTTTTTTGATTGTGAAGAAACTTCAATTGAAAAATAATTCTTATCTTCCATAAGCAAGAATCTACTTGATGAACAATGGTTTAAATAAAATATTAAGCAATAATATAAAAATAAGAAAATGATTACCATACAAATACAAGAAAGAATATAAAATGAATTGAGCAGTTAGACGAAAAAAACATATTACGAAACAAATAGAAAACAAAATCAATAATAAACGCGTGATATCTAAGTATCTTTGCTTTACCATCTCATCTATACAGAACAACATTTCAACAAGAATTAAAGCAACAGTAATAATTTCTGCTTGTGTGATCATGCCACTAGATACAACATTTGTTTCATGCATAATAGACATACTTGAATACATAAATGTAACGCATGATGTACAAGTACTAATATTTCTACCACAAGAGTAAGTAGTTTCAACCTAACAGATATTGCAGAAGAAAAAAGTATTTGGTGAAGAATGATTTGTCCAAGATTATTCGTATATACATATATACGAAAGGGGGTTTTCATCGGGATCGACTGCAAAAGCACAAAGTTTTGAAAACCGCAGCTAATACATCACTCATAAGTGATAGAAATCTTGATCATAAGGTACTAATTATATATAGGACCTATGAGTTACCTCTCTACTGCTTAATGCGTTGAAAACAGATTTTGATAGCATTATTATGAAGATTACTAACGATAGAAAAAAAACCCAACAAAATTTCATGACAACATAGTTTGCTGCTATTGAAAAATCCCAAAATATGTAATATATCAGTACTAATGTTATTATTCTCACTTTTCACTGTATATGATTTCTATTGCAATTTCAATATCTCAACAAGGAAATATTTTTAGATGCATATCAATTGAACATGATTACTCGCTCCTACCATGACATGTCTGCTAGACACGACTATATCTCTTGGAATAGAAACTTCTTGTCTATCGAAGTTGCATAGCTGCTTGAAATTGATATTTCACTTCAAATAATCAAAATAAATACAAATACAAGATATACA